TTGAAGTTCATTTTACATGGCAGAAGTTCATCGAATTGCCTTGTTTATTATGATTCCTGCAGTGATGGCAGTTTGCAATGAAATTATGTGCATTCAAGGGAGGCAATTGAAGCCAATGCAGAAACAGGCGCAATTCAAAACCTTCAATATCAATGGCGAAGCTGAAAGAGAGATGTGGATGCAACGAAGCCAAACCATGAGCCTGCAGCATCCTCCTGATCACCACACATGGGCACGTGATCACCATGAGGAGGTTCATGGTGTAGTACTTGACGACTCCAAAAGATCGAGCTTACCAGTGCCCATGTCACCGACACCGAATAACAGGGTTAGTTTTAGCTACAAAGAATACAAGGACAGTTTTGAAGCCCAGGCCACTACATCATCTGATAATGAAGGTGGATAATTATCGGCAGCCTCGTTAGTTTGTCGAATCAGACTAAGTTTTGTTTTTGTTCGGCAGAATAAAATTATTTGCATCATCTGAATAAATCATCAGACTGTTTATTCACCTCTCGCTAGTTAATAAAGGCGAATCTCACTTGTTTCGGGAAATATTAAGCTCAATATGTTACCAGTGATTTTGGAATAGTGGTTGGCATTGCAATAATAATTTATGGTCACTCTTTTCCTAAAAAGTATGAATGTTGCAATCGCTTTTTATTTGGGCGGCTTGACCTTAGAGCACTAGATATTAAAACATTGTCAACCTTTCCTTGACTTGAAGAGCACCTTATAAATTGGTCAAATGATACATCATCAACATATCATAATGTCGAAATAATCTGAAGATTTCTCTTGAGCTCACTCAATCCTGGATTGAATATAACAAAGGAAAAGTTAGACTTTTCATTCTTAGACAACATCAACAGAAGGCAATCTAATTAATTAGAGTTTCATAGCGTGTATAGAGAAAACAAACGTTCAAATCATGATTTCCTTTGGTTCATCTTTTGTTTACAGTTCATGGCATGGGCTTCATCTTTCCCTTGCCTTTCAACAAAAGGCTGGTTCAATATGGGCTTGTTAAGAAGGAACTGTTTGGTGCCTTATTACTCAAGCCCCATTAAATGGGGAAAATTACTTTACTCAAGCCCATTAAAGGAACTTTACTTTGCTCAATCTGAGATGATATATATGATTAGTTATATATACTGTCACATTCCGGGATCGGTTCCGCCGTAGCACGATAGTGCCTGCTTTGGGCCCCCCTCTCTGCCCTCAGAGTTTTATTTCTGGAAACTCACGAGCAACTTTTCAGTGGGTCATCCATCCTGGGATTACTTTAGCCCCAACTTGCTTAACTTCGGAGTTCCCATGAATCCGAAGCCAGTGAGCTCCCAAAAGGCCTTGTGCTAGATGGAGGCGGGCATGTACATATAAGGCACATCACCCCCTCTCCGTTGGTCGATGTGGGATCTTACATATACCACTTTTGTACTCATTAGTTTTGTTGATGATCAGGATCACTATTGATATTTTATTGTGACAATACATTAGCTTAGGCCACTATAACTTTCAACAACCACTAGCAGATTCCCAACTTAATTAGAGTAAAGCATATCTCAGAGAGTAATCTAATTAAGTTGGGAATCTGCTAGTGGTTGTTGAAAGTTATAGTGGCCTAAGCTAATGTATTGTCACAATAAGACATTCATTCATCTGTCGTCACAGTTACAGTAGCTATACTAGCCATATTAATGGAGAAATGGGATCCCATACTTATGTCTTTCGTATTATCAATATTGTCTTTCTGATCAAAACGAATTCTTTTATATATAATTTAGAGTATGGTTAAATGCTTATGGTTCATATAAAAAAAAAATTAGTCTCCCAATAAAATCGACCCAACTTTACCAAATTTAACGTAAGGAATTATTTTACTTCATAAGGAGAGGGGAATTCAAATTCGAGTGTAAAAGAGTGGATACAACGCCAGTCCTGACCAACTAAGCTAATCCACATCTACAATTTCTAAATATAACAACACCATGCACCTTAACAGTCACTGCCCAATACATACCACAATTTGAGCAGTTAATTGAAGTTATCTATCTGTTGAACGAGAAAAAAAAAAGAGAACAAGAACAAGAGGTACGAAGATATTATTTTATGCTAGGAATCTCATAAAGTGATAAATTAAATTGAACTTTCAGTGAGTAATTTTTTTCTTTACCTTTTCAGTTAAAAAAGAAAAAAGTGGAACTTCTTAATTAAGTAGCTATTAAGCATCATTAACACTTAAATAAGCATTTCTTTGAGACTAACCGAATCATTAACACTTAAATAAGCATTTCTATTAAGCTCCAACTTGCAAATTTTATAAGGCAACCCACGAGCCATTGTCTCTGAGTGAGACCAAAGCCCTAAAATAGTAATCAATCAGTTTGGGAAACCTACCAAACGACACTTTAAGCAGCCTTTTGGTCCTTTGGAGTTTGGACCAAAGCTCTCGTGCATCTTTGTCACTTTTATTTTGTTTTTGATCAATTTCGTCTTAAACTTGGAACAAGAGATCAACCTCAAAGTGGGTTCAAGCTAGCCATAATTCGTCAGCTTTACTAGTGCTTAAACTAACTTAACGAACCGTACTGGTTTTTTTTATTTTTTTGTTTTTTGTTTTTTGGTTCAGAGTGGAAGCCGTAGGTTTCAATTCCGTTCAATTGAAAAGAGTGTATAAAAGGGCATGGAAAGTGGCCTCATTAAAACCTTTTCGAAGAAAATTACGTAGGATAAAACCCCAAGGTAGAAGAGTACCACACGTACCAGCCGTACAACAAAAAATTTCTAAAAATAAGGAAATTAAAAAGAGTATACAACTCAAGCATCACGCAAAACTATTGGGGGGTTTCAGGAACCACTCAGCCATCCCAGGAGAATGTAATGCCAACCTAGTAAGCCTTGCAGTAGCTTCATTAGCCTCCTTCATCACATGTTGTAACAATATATTGTCATGCTGTGCTAATAATAGTTTGCATTCTTCAATTAAACAACCCAAGTGGGACAAGTCTGTGATACTTGGCTTATAACATGAACAACTCCTTGGCCATCTCCTTCAACGAGCTGCTGTACATTGGGCCATCTTTGAGCAAACAAAAGCCCCTCCTTTAGAGCTAGTAATTTTGCATGTAACATATTGGAGACTCCATGAACAGCCACCAATTTGCATGCAAGAAAAGTGCCTTCATGGTCATGAGCCACCAGTCCAATCCCTCCAATCCCTATCGCGGCTTGAAAGGCCCACCCCCCAACCAAATTGATTTTGATAGCCCCCAAGGGCAGACGCTGCCATTCGCCTTGACGTGAGATGGAGGAATCAAGAAGGGTGCTTGAGCTATCATAAGATTCATGCATAAGCCGCATGGGCCCGTTAACAATTTCTGCCACATTCCAAACTACAGAACCGTACTGGTTTCTAATTGCACTTTTAACTTTTGCTAAACTTGTTTAAATTTATATTTAGTTTTATGCTAACAAGGTCTAATCCAGTGGAATATGGCATTGACTTGCAGATCAGTAGTTTCGGTTTCAAAATTCTATGACACCTTGATAGTGTATGTGAAAAACCCTCCTCCCTTTATAGTATAAATATATATATATATATATATATATATATATATATATATATAAAAACCATATTGTTAGTTTTTTACATATAAACCCTACTGTTAGTTTTAAAGTTTGTCGTACACTAATCTTACACTTATTCACAACTATCCGCTATTACCCTTTTTACTATTAACTCTTAATTAAATTAGGAGGTGTGGTGTATTAGGTTAAATTAAGTTCTAGTAATTTCTGATTTCACCACAATAAACGTAACAATTGAAGAAAACGGATATAATTGAGACATTTAATTCAAAATCAATTGAATACGAGTGGAGAGAGGGGCTGGATGATCTTTATATACATTGAGAAAGATCAAGTACTTAATACATGGTACAACATTTGTGATCGATTGAAATAGGTGGCTAGGATAAAATAAAAAAAAAATCAGTTTTTAATGGAGTGACCAACGCCGGGACTGTGACTGGGTGACGTGGGTCGAAAATCGTCAGTATCATGTTCTACCTTTCTTGGCTGATCATGATCAGCTTGCAACAAACCATGGCCACCACTAGCGTTACGGTGATCATCATGAGTGCTCGGACTGGTAGTCCTCATCACCATGTGCTCACTATGCCTTCAGCTCGGCCCGGACTTCAACTGCCTTCCCTCCACATGCAAGGCTTCATGGCAACTTATCAAAAAGAGCAGGCAAGTACAGATAGTGGTGGTCATCGGCCTAGAAATCTTGGCCATCTTAAGCAAATTTAGATCGATCAGAGCAGAGAGTGTGCTATATAACTAATCATGTTTGGTGTTACTCAAGCCCATTTTCTATGTGATGCAACCAAAATTGAAATGGCATAGATTTCGAATCATCATTATTCTAGAATAAGAAGGTAGCTAGGATCGATCATCAGCAACTTAGAGATTTGATAAGGTTAGGTGAGATTACTTCGCTAAATCTGAGATGATATTCATGATTAGTTATATAACACACTTTCGTATTCATTACTTTTGTTGATGATCATGATCACTACTGATATATTATTGTGACAATACATTAGCTCAGGCCACTATAACTTTCAACAACCACTAGCAGATTCCCAACTTAATTAGAGTACTCTCAGAGATATGCTTGAAAAATATATGTTTTTTTTTTCTGGCCTTGGTGAAGGGAAAAACAATTCTATGCATTCATTCATCCGCCATCACAGTCACAGTAGCTACTAGCTATATTAATGGAGAAATGGGATCCCATACTTATGTCTTTTGTATTATCAATGTTGTCCTTATGATCAAAACGACATTCTTTTATATATAATTTAGAGTTTATAGTTAAATGCTTATGGTTTATATCGAAAGAAGAAGAAGAAAAAAAGAAAAATAGTCTGCTAATAAAATCAACCCAACTTACAAATTAACGTAATGAATTAGTCTACAAATACACCGTCTGTCCTGACCAACTAAGCTAATCCACATCTACAACTTCTATATATAGCTTTAGTTCTAACAAGACCATGCACCTTAACAGTCACTTGTCAGTACATGCCACAACTTGAGCATGATGTAAACTCTTCCGTTGATTAATTGAAGTTATCTATCGTTTGAACCCAAAAAAGAAGAAAAAAAGAAGAAGAGAGAACAAGAACAAGAAAGGTATAAAGATATTATTTTAAGCATCACTAACACATAAATAAGCATTTCTTTGAGACTAACCGAATCAAAACGTCGTACAGAGCGCATGCTCCAACTTGCAAATTTTATAAGGCAACCCACGAGCCACTGTCTCTGAGTGAGACCAAATCCCTAATCAATCAGTTTGGAAAACCAACCAAACGAAACTTTAAGCAGCCTTTTGGCCCTTTGGAACGACACTTTAAGCAGCCTTTTGGTCCTTTGGACCAAAGCTATCGTGCATCTTTGTCACTTTTATTTTGTTTTTGGTCAATTTCGTCTTAAACTTAGAATCCAAGAGATCAACCTCAAAGTGGGGTCAAGCTAGCCATAATTCGTCAGCTTTACTAGTGCTTAAACTAACTTAACGAACCGTACTTGTTTCTAATTGCACATGGGACCAAGCAGAGTTTGCAAACCACCCAAATTTCGCATTAATTCTCTAAACCCACTTTTAGCTTTTGCTAAACTTGTTTAAACCTATTTTTAGTTTTATGTCAATAGGGAGCATTAACTTGCAAAGCAGTGGTCTCAGTTTTAAAACTTCATGACACCTTCAGAGTTTGTGTGTGAGAAACCCTCCTCCCCTTATAGTTTAGACTACTATATATATATATATATTGTTAATTTGATAGTTTTAAAGTTTGTTGTACATTAATCTTACTCTTATTCGCGACTATCCGCTACTATGATGTATCCTTTTTACTATTAACACCTAATTAAACTAGGAGGTGTGGTGTATTAGGTTAAATGATAACTTTTAGTCATTTCTTATTTTACCACAATAAACATAACAATTGAAGAAAACGGCTAATAAAACGGACATAATTGAGACATCTAATTCAATATCAATTCAATGTGAGTGGAGAGAGGAGCTGGATGATCTTTATATACATTGAGAAAGACCATGTATTAACATATGTGATCGATTGAAATAGGTAGCTAGGATAAATTTAAACAAATAAGTTTTTTTTTTTGCAGTACAAGCGATAGTCTAAATTACAGGGGATGAGGCACAACTATGATATCGTGGGGATTCAAACTTGAAATATGCAAGTCAATTTCTTTTTTCACTGGGCTAGACCCTGTTAACTAAACAAATCAGTTTTTAATAGAGTGACCAACGCCGGGACTGTGACCAGGTGTCGTGGGACGAAAATCGTCAGTAACATGTTCAACCTTTCTTGGCTGACCATGATCAGCTTGCAGCGAACCATGGCCATCACTAGCGTTACGGTGATCATCATTAGTGCTCGGACTGGAAGTCCTCATCACCATGTTCTCACTATGCCTTGAGCTCGGCCCGGACTTCAAATGCCTTCCCTCCACATGCAAGGCTTCATGGAAACATATCAAAAAGAGCAGGCAAGTACAGATAGTGGTGGTCATCAGCGTAGAAATCTTGGCCATCTTAAGCAAATTTAGATCGAGCAGAGAAGAGAGAGAGAGATATTTAGTATTTGATGAAGAAGTGTGGTGTATGGAAACCTATTGCTCTACTGTGGTATTTATATGGGCTTGAAGAGCTGAGTGGCGCCGAACGGTCTCTCTCTCTCTCTCTCTCTCTCTCCAAGTAATAGTATCTACGGGTTGAGGAGGCAAGGCATGTGCAGGTCCATAGGAGCGGGAAGATTCCACACATTGTGAGATATTTAAAATCACCAAAAGCAAAGCGAAAGATGTAAAGTACTCTGGACGGTTTATATTAACTGTTTAAGCCCAACCTCTCATTACAAAAACTAACGCACCACCGCTACATGCTTGTTGTCTATATTCTGTTTGCCCCCATGGCCCGCCCATGCAATCAACTAACCCTTCAATTTCTTTTTTACTTTTTAAATTTGTCTTTAAAAAAAAGTCTGCATATATTATATATATAGAGAGAGAGCAGAATTTACAAGGGCAAATGTCTGCGCATGTCAACAAGGTGCCACCATTTGATTGGCCTCCCCTACCGACATGTTCTTTTTGTTTTTCCTTAAAAACGAAACCCATTTTCGACAAAATTGATTACTTTTTTTTTTGGGTCTGAACCAATAGGTGGTCTTGGATGAGCCCCAACTATTGGTGGCACCTTTAAGTCTTAACCACAACCCAGACTAATCCCCGTTCACACTGGGTCAGCCCGTAAGGGGTAAAGTGCTGGCCAAAGTGGTGACTCCATACGAGAGCAGGGATCGAACCCCTGACCTCTTTTAAGGAATGAGAGTGCCGAACCACTCACACCAACCACCTTGGTTAAAATTGATTACTTTAGCTAGGCTGTAGAACCGTCTTTATATTTTAGGTTTTTCAAGTACTGTTTTAAAGAGATTAACAGGGTGTCGATTGATTGATGCCGATATTTGCAGCCAACTTCCGGTGAACATTCCCACCTGCCTGAAGCTGATTGTGTCCTTGACCTAATGCTTTGTTCTGCAAAATTCCCCACATACTATAAGGTTATTATTTATTCATGAAATGCGGCCCATAAAATTTAAACTTCAATCATTTTCCGATAAAACGACGACCGAGTAAATAAATAGTCATGTGAGCTTCCAACTAATAGTATTTGTAACTCAACTTACATGAGCTAGACTAGTGCTCGACATACAATACTGGCATGAGATCTGGATCTTCACAGGGTTGATTATAACTTTTATTTGTCAAACTACTCTAGAGGGCTAGCTGCATTGAGGCTTTAAAAAATGAAAGGGAGTCCTTCCCACTATTTCACCTATAAATGAACCCTCCCACTAACTACGATCCACTATTTGGAGAAAGGTTAGATATATATTTATGGGGTCGGCATACACAAAATGTTCAGATTCAAGCAAAGTAATTAATAATTTATATATAAGATATGATTTCTTTTTGGTCAGACAAACCTAACTTTCAAATGAAAAGACCCCATAAACCTTTTGCGGTTCCAATCTGTTGTGCGAGCTTTTAACACCATCATTAGCCACCAAACCTAGAAAGATTCCTCAGCAGACTTTGCAGTTCATGGCAATATTGAAAAGGAGAACCCGCTAGTACGATTAATTAGTGTAGCTAACCCAGTTTTAGGACGATTAAGTAGTGATTAAGTATTATAATGTATACTGTTGGGTTTGTTGAATATATATATTTGTAAGATGCTGAAGATCTTCTCTCTTGTGGTTGTTGAAGTGGCCTTCATGGATGAATAGTTTATATGTAATCTTTGAATTCCAAAGAGTTTCTTTTTTTGTTGGACGGTTGGATCAGGTATATTAATCATATTCAACGGGCCGGATTCATTTAAGTAATACTAAACTCTTGACATTGTGGTGGTTTTTTCTATTGTGTTTTATTTATTTATTTGGGCTCAATTTAACATTAATATCCTTACGCATTGTGGTGGTTTTTTCTTTCGGTTTTGTATGTGAGGTGCAATTGGTTTATCTTTTCTTTTGTTTTTTTTTGGTTTCAAAGCTTGTGAGACCGTAGGTTAGGGTTTAGCTTTATAATAGTAGAGATGTAAATTAGTTTCAAACACGCGCAAGACACAGTATGAAACGCCTTAGGTCATGTCGTTTACATAACCTAGCACGATTTATCTTGTTTGTAATAGGTCAAGAATCAAGGTATATATCTACAAAAATTTAGGCCTCCTTTTTTTTAGCCATGGATTGGCTTGTGTGAATGGATTTCGGTTCTCAAACTCTCTCATTACAATTTCCTCTCTATACCCATATATAAAGAGAGGGAAACTCTTATACAATAAGTGATTTGTAGCTTAAGTGGTTAAGAGCAGTTAGGCTTCATTCATTTTTCTTAGCCATGGATTGCCTTGTGGGAATGGATTTCAGTTCTCAAACTCTCTCATTAAAGTTTCCTCTTGTTAGGTTATGTTTAGCTAAAGTTCTTACGTATTCAATCAAGCTCAAAGAATCTAGACTAGTCTAAGTTAGTGCTTCGTTGACTACTATGGCTAAGATAAACTCCACAATATGCCTCAATGCATTCAAAGCTCATTGAAGGTAATTCATTTATGTTTGCGTTGCATGCCTTGTTCCTTTTTGTAGATTTGTCTAACTGATTTTTAGATTTACACCTTTCACCTAAATACCAATTTCACCTCTATATAAGGTGGGGAGTTGCAAGATCTAGCAACTCGATCCCTTTCCATAGTGAGCACACCTAAACACCAAAACAAATCCTAGGATCTCTCTATTTATGTTAAGAGCTGACGCTCTGATACCATGTGAAATTGGTACTTAGGTGACGAGGGGTAAATTTAGCGACACAAACAAGACACAACAACACAATCAATCAAGAAAACACACAGAGCATGCCACAAAGTATCTGCAGCCCTAGAAGGTTACTAGTGACAACCTAGGCACTCAGAAGGACCCATCAATCTAGGCATCCCCTGTGTTAGCAACAACTATGGTGAAAGTGTGTGAAGTCATCATTATCAAGTAAACAGCAAACAGCAAACAGCAGATAAAGATGACTAGTCAACCACCAAGAACACAAACCCAGAAAAATTTACAGATATGCAAAACAGAATTTGTTTACCCAGAAACCCACCATTGGGAAAAACTGGAAGTCATTAACCGACTAGGCAATCCACTAAGTAGAAAAAGATTCTTACAAAGGAATACCAGCAAGCTCAAGCAAAACCTAGATCTATTTAGGAAGATGAGCTATACCTCCTTTGTGCAATCTTCTTCTCCAACTTAGCGAAGCTTGAAGCTCAATTCTTCATGGCAATGGCAGCTCATTCTCCAGCTCATTCATCCCATGGCACTAGCTGGCAAGCTCCAACTCAGACCGAAACCAAAATTTGGATTCAAGGGAGAATAACCAATTTCTTCAAGAAACCATACTCTTGAAGAAATCAGTCTTGAATCTGACCTAGATATAAATGAGAGAATGATTTAAATAGCTAGATGTAGATTCATATTTCAAATGCAGTTTTTCAAAAATAAATCAATTAGAAAAACTCATAGATGAAATATATGGTTCACTCTTGAGGAAGAAGAAGAGAAAGATGGCAAGCCAATCTTTCCAAAACTTCCACACAAAAGAGACGGCTGCCAAAAGAGGAATTCACTAGCCTTTACAAACAAAAGAATCCCTTAGGTCAGAATGACACATGGCAGCAGAGAGAGAAAAGAGAATAGGACAAAACAGTTGGTTAACCAGCTGGAAATCCTACAAAGCAAGGATGACTAGTCATCATTTATTAAAACAGTTTAATGCATGATATGCAATGGATGATTTACCTTTGTCAATTTGCTTGAACCTCCATAGGATAGATGATAGTTAAGAACACCTAGAGATGCTATTCTTAATCTAAACTTTGAGCTTGATAAATATAATAAAAATCCTATTACAAAATTGTCAAGGGAAGCCAAAAGAATTAATCAAAATTCATACATTAACAGAGAGAGAAGCAGCCTTTATATCGCATGAATGCTTGTTTATGTAGCTTGTTAATACTCTCAAAGCAAGCCCTACATGATGGCTAGTCTTGAAGGTATTGTCAGTCAGATGAATTAATTTGGCTAGCACAAAAATGCACGCTCTCTAGATTTATTGTGCAACTCGACAATGTAATTTGAAAAAAAGAAAAAAAGAAAGAGAAGGCAATTTAATTGCAAGAGAAGGCAATTTAATTAAGGATGGACGTACAAACAAACTGTTAGTTTATAGTAGAAAAGAAATTAGAAGAGAGAGCCTTGAGAACCCCAGCAATTCCCTATTTGGTCCAAATGTTTGGCCATTGATTGTTTTAGGGTGGCTTGGAAAGTTGGAATTAGAAAGGTCCGTTTCCATTTTCCATCTTTTTTTCTCTAATTAAGCAACATTTCTATTACCTCTAATTCTAAGGGGATATATTTTCCCAAAATTACATGTGTTCTACGTCCATGTCTTTCTCACCATGCAGACACATGCAATAAGCGTGGTGGTTTTGGATTCATATGAGCTTTTTTCTCACCGTGCTTATTTTCATTATTCATCCACAATAGAAGGAGCTGGAGGAGGAATGAGTGTTTTTTTTGTTTTAGAGAATACAATATAAAGGCCCGACCGAAACCCGAATCTAAAAGGTTAAAGTTGAGAGTCAAGACAAACAACTGCACATGAAGAGATTTTCGCAGAACATTCTAAATGTTTGAGCGACAACAACTTAAGACAATAGAAACCAAGCATATTCATTAAATCAAAAGCGAACATACATATACAAGCCATAATACCTAGCTAGCTAAACAACCATAGTGAATACAACTGTAAAATACTTTTTATTTTTTATTTTTTGGCCTGAGAACTGAAAACCCTAGATAATAATGACACAGACATAGTACAAGCACACACTGTCACAAATACGAAGATGATGCTGAGGCTTCTAGTTGTGAACACCATGGCCAACTCCGGGACTGTGACCGGGAGTGGTGGGT